TGTCAAGGACAATGATAGACAAAAAGTAAACTGGATACAAGAGACCACTTCTACTCACCCACTGCCATCTCCTGCTTCTGATGAGCATCCAGGTAACTTTAAATCTCTTGAGTCAACTGATCTTGATACGCCTATTCATCTTGATGGTCCTATTGCCAAGAGAAAGGGTGTGAGATCTTATACTCAACATCCTATCTCAAATTTTGTATCCTACTCTCATTTGTCATCCTCATATAAAGCTTTTGTGTTAAATATTTCATCTGTTAGCATTCTTAACCATTTTCAGGATGCTCTTGCTACCTCTGAGTGGAAACTTGCCACGATTGAAGAAACGAAGGAAGAATGGCACGCTACCTCTGAGTGGAAACTTGCCACGATTGAAGAAACGAAGGAAGAATGGCACTTGGGAATTGACTAAGATACCCAAGGGCAAACGGCCTATGGGATGCAAATGGGTGTATACTGTGAAACACAAAATGAATAGTTATATTGAGCGTTACAAGGCTAGACTTGTGGTAAAAAGGTTCACTCAAACATATGGCGTTGACTATCAGGAGACCTTTGCATCCGTGGCTAAAATGAATTCAGTCAAAGTACTTCTCTCTCTAGCAGCTAATCTAGATTGACCACTTCATCAGTTTGATGTAAAGAATGCCTTTCTCCATGGTGACCTCGAAGAAGAGGTATATATGGACATTCCTCCTGGTTTTGAGGATCATCAAATAAAGGGTAAAGTATGTCGGCTTAGGAAGTCATTATATGGTTTCAAACAGTCTGTAAGGGCTTGATTTGAGAGATTCACTCTGGCTATGCTTAAATATGGCTTCAAACAGAGTCAGACAAATCACACCTTATTTGTGAAACATTCCTCACGTGGTACAACTACAGCACTCATCGTTTATGTGGATGACATAGTTCTTACAAGCAATGATAGTGACGAAATACCTCTGTTGAAGAAATATTTAGGGAGTTTGAAATCAAAGACTTAGGGAACTTGAAGTATTTTTTGGGAATTGAAGTTGCTCGCTCTCAGGATGGGATATTTATCTCGCAGCGAAAGTATATGCTTGACCTATTGAAGGAAACTGGGATGTTGCAAGGCCTGTGACACTCCATTGGAACCCAATCAGAAACTGAGGGATGATGAAGGCGGAGTAGTTGTTGATAGCGGGAGCTATCTGCGTTTAGTGGGTAAGCTCATCTATCTATCTCACTCCCGTCCTGATAGTGTTGTTGCTGTCAGTGTGGTTAGCCAATTTATGCATGCTCCTCATCAGATTCACTTCGAGGCTGTCATAAGAATTTTGTAGTACTTAAAGTCTACTCCTGGTAAGGGTCTTTATTTTTCAAAACATGATCATCTTCGTGTGGAAGCCTCTACAAATGCTGACTGGGCTGGATCAGTAACTAATAGGAGATCGACTCCAGGGTATTGCACCTTTGTTGGAGGCAACCTAGTTACTCGGAGGAGTAAGCAACAGAATGTGGTTGCCAGGTACATCGCAAAAGCTGAGTTTAGAGCTATGGCACAAGGGGTGTGTAAGCTCTTATGGATCAAGTTATTGTTGCGTGATCTAGGTATCGATCAGACAGACTCCACGAGGTTATACTGCAATAATAAGGCCGCCATCAACATCGCTCACAATCCGGTTCAACATGACAGGACAAAGCATGTTAAGATTGATTGCCACTTCATTAAGGAGAAACTCACTAGTGGCACAATATGCAGTCCATTTGTGCAATCTGGTGAACAACTCACTCACATCCTCACCAAGGGAGTTGGGAGTAAGCCATTGCATGACATCCTTGGCAAGCTGGGCATGAGAGGTATATCTTCGCACCAGCTTAAGGGGGAGTGTTAGAATATTATTAGTTGGGTTTTTTTTATTCAATTGTAATTATTCTATACCTTAGGGCTTCCTTGTAATTATTAATCTTTATTAATATAAAAAGGGGATGATATCATAATCATTCCCTAATCTGGGTATTCTCTAAAATTAACAATTAAATGGTCTGAATTAATTGGCTTGGGCTCATGCTGTTAAGATTTTCTTAGGTGGCAAGAAGTCATGTTTTCTTACTAAACTTCCACCTGCTAAGGATGCTACAAGTTATGATGATCGGTTGAGTGAGGAATCATGTGTTATGGGGTGGCTTTGGCATAGTTTGGAACCTCATGTTGCTATTACAATGGAATTTTGTGACACTTCTACGGACATTTGGGACTCCCTTGCTGTTTTTTTTTCCAATTAGAGTAATGTTTCTCGTGTTTATGAGTTACATGAGCAGATCTTTGCTACCTAACAGTCTGGCCATCCTCTTCTTGAATATAACAATCACCTTACAATGGCATTAAGACCTTGTGGGATCAATTATTGCAACACCGATCGTTTACTACTGATTTGGCTCAACAAAAGAAATATTGAGAGGAATTTATGATGGCATCCTTACTTTTGGGTGCTAATGCCTATTCTCAGCTGTTGTGCTCTTATTTGGGACAAAGTTCTTCCATATCTAGTTTCTCTCAGTCATTGTCCTCTTCTGCCTTGATCTCAAGCAGTGGTGACTGTGGGACTAACCGTCGTAGTTTTCATGGCAATTTTAGTCACCGTGGATCCCATACTAGTTCCCATGGTTCTCGTGGTGGTCAATATTCTCACAGTTCTCATGGTGGTGGTGGTGGGTGTGGTGGTGGGCGTGGTACTGGTTCTGCATCTCGTGGTGATAGAAAGTGTACCCATTGTGATTCCTTGGGTCATTCTGAACCTTAGTGTTGGCAGAAGTATGGTAAACCTGATCATGTGATCAGGTTATGGATGTTCAATCCTCTCAATCGACATCCTTTCCCTCTAGTCCTGGTGCTTCCCTAGCTGATTCTCATGATGCACTTACCACTCAGATTAACGAGCTTATTGAGCTAGTCAATTCTCTTTGTACTACTCTTCCTTCATCCTTTATCACTACATTGGCTAGTTCAAGTCATATTGCATGTATGGCTCAATCCCAACCTTGGCTTCTAGACTCTGGAGCTAGTTCTCATATCTCCGGTAATTCCTCTCCTTTTCATACTCTTCATCCGGTTACGCATAATGTTATACTAGCTGATGGATCCTCTCGACCTATCAATGGCCAGGGTACACTTCAGCCCACTCCATATCTATCCTTACCCTTTAGTCTCTACATTAACTTTTTCTCATTTACTTTGCTCTCTATTAGTCAATTAACCAAAATTCTTAACTATTCTGTAACGTTTTCTGCCTCTTTATGTGTTTTGCAGGACGTCCAGACCAAGAAGATGATTGGTTCGCGGCATAAGAAGGATGGCTTATATTTTCTAGACACTAATGGCTCTCCTCCTACTTCTGCTGTTTAGAGTGCTACCGTGTCTCCCTTACAATGGCATTTTCGTTTAGGTCATCCATCCTTGGGCAAGCTTAAGTTAGCTATTCCTAGTTTAAGTCATGTGTCTCAGCTTGAATGTAAAGCATGTCAGCTTGGCAAACATCACAATAGTTCCTTTTCTAGTCGTAGTATTAGTCGTGTGTCTACGTCCTTTGACATAGTCTATACAGATGTATGGGGTTCTTCTCGCACTCCCACTATTAACGGTTTTTTTTATTTTGTTATTTTTCCGAATGATTACTCTCGAATGACTTGGTTGTTTCTACTACCGCAACAGTCTAACTTGCCTCAAATAATTTCTAAGTTTTATAATGAAATTTTTACTCAGTTTAAGAAACGTATTAAAATTTTTTGGTCTGATAATGCCTTAGAATATGTGCAGTCTATTGTGAATACTTTTTGTGATGATCATGGTATTATACATCAAACTAGTTGTGCTCATACATCCCGGCAAAATGGTGTTTCTGAGCAGAAACACCGCCACTTGTTAGATATTGCCCGGACCTTGATGTTCAACATACATCTTCCTAAACAATTTTAGGGTGATGCTGTGCTTACTGCATGTTCCCTTATTAATCTCATGTCATTAGCTATTTTATAAAACCGGTCTCCATTCTCTCAATTATACCCCACTTGTTCCCCGTTTCCACTTCCTCGTGTTTCTAGTTATGTGGCCTTTGTCCATGTCCTCAATTCGGGACTAGATAAGTTATCTTCCCATGCTCACAAATGTGTTTTTTTAATTTATTCTCATACTCAGAAAGGTTATCAGTGTTATCATCTCGAGTCTCGTCAGTCCTTTGTTAGTACCGATGTTACCTTTTTTGAGTCCTCTTTTTTTTTTCCCCTTCTGGTCAGTGGTTGATAGATGAGCTTATCTCTTGTCTGAGGAGGAGTCATCTTTTCCCACTCCTAATCTTCCGATGCCCTTTGTCTCCCCATCCTCTCTCTCCATTTCCATCAATTTAGATTCTTCTCCACCATCTCCTCTACAGGTTTATCAGCGGTCCCAAGCTCATCGCATTGTTTCTTATGGCCCAGCTACTTCATCTTCTTTGTCAAAGGCTCCTACCCCTCCTCTACCTATGGCATTTGATGATTTACCTATTGCATTACACCGAGGTAAACGTACTTGCACTCAAAATCCTATTGCTCATTTTGTTTCTTATGTTCGTCTTTCTCCTAATTTTTACTTCTTTGTTTGTTGTTTGTCTTGCCCTTCTATTCCGTCGTCTTATCAACAGGCTTTGTCCTTGTCGGGTTGGAAACATGCTATGGATGAGGAAATGAGTGCTTTTCATCAAAATCAAACTTGGGAACATACACCTCTTCCTTCTGGGAAACCTACTATTGGTTGTCTTTGGATTTATACTTTCAAGTATCATCCTAATGGTACTATTGAGCAGCTCAAAGCCCGTCTAGTGGCCAAAGGTTATACTCAAACCTATTGTGCTAATTATCTGGAGACTTTCACTCTTGTGGCTCAGCTGAATTCTATTTGGATTCTACTTTATGTTGTCGTTAATTAGTCTTGGCCTTTATATCAACTTAATATAAATAATGCCTTTCTTCATAGTGATTTGCATGAAGAGGCCTATATGGATCAACCCACTAGCTATATTGTTCCTGGTAGTGAGCATATGGTTTGTCGACTACGGAAGGCTTTGTATAGACTCAAGCAGTTTCTTCGTGCTTAGTTTGATCGCTTCAGTACCGTTGTGCTTGCATATGGATTTCACCGTTCTACTTCCAATCACTCTATTTTTGTTCACAACTCGTCTACTGGGGTCATTGTTCTCATTGTCTATGTGGACGACATCATCATTTTTGGTAATGACTCCACCAGTATTGTTGTTTTGAAGCTTTATTTGGGTAAGCAATTTTAGAATAAGGACTCAGGCCAACGTCGATATTTTCTTGGGATTGAGATTGCTCACTCATCTCGGGGTTTATTTCTTTCTCAACGCAAGTATGTTCTTGATCTTCTTTCCGAAACTAGTCTCTTGGGCACTTGTCCTAGCGATGCTCCTATGAATTCCTTAGTTAAACTCGATGGTGAGACTAGGGCATTGTTTCCTGACATTGGTCAGTATTGTCGTTTGGTTAGGAAGTAAATTTATCTTATTGTCACTTGTCTAGATATTGCTTATGCTGTGAGCACTGTTAGCCAGTTTATGCATGTTCCTCGCCAACCCATTTTGATGTTGTTTGTCATATCTTGCGTTACCTAAAACGAGCTCTAGATCGCAGTCTACTCTACCGTTCCTCTCCTTCCTTGTCTGTCACTGCCTTTAGTGATGCTGATTGGGCTGGTAGTTGGATTGACTGTCATTCTACATCTGGATATTGCACATTTGTTGGGGGTAATCTTGTTAATTGGTGTAGCGACAAACAATTGGTTGTTGCTCATTCAAGTGCTGAGGCTGAGTATCGTGTCATGGCTCATACCGCCTCTAAGATGTTATGGGTTTGTTCTCCTCTACAGGATTTTGGTATTTCATTGCTAATAACCCCGTGTTTCATGAGCGCATGAAGCATATTGAGGTTGACTGTCATTTTATTCAAAATTTGTTGTTGCACAAGCAACTTGTGAACACCGTTTGTACACTCTGATGATCAATTGGGTGATATACTCACCAAACCTCTTGCTCGCTCTTCGTTTCAACATCTATCTACCAAGCTGGGCATGTTTGATTTCTATGTTCCAGCTTTGAGGGGAAGTGTCAAAATATATAGTCATATGTTATTTTTTGTGTTAAGTAAGGGTACTATGGTCATATGGTCATATTATATTTCATATATATATATATATATATTTGTTGTTTGTTTTAGGTTTATTCTAAGAACCTAAGAACATGCGTTAAATAAAAATCTTCCTCTCCTTTTTCTTTCTCTCTTTCTCTCTAGCCCTAATCTAAGTTTTCCATACTTTGACACTTCAACTGAAACCATATTTCAAAATTTTCTTCTGAAATAATAATAGCCAAAGCTGTTTAGTGGCAATGATAGATAGAAGTTCAAGAAGTAGTAGTACATATAAAACATAAATAAAAAATATAAATAAATTTAATTAAAAAAAACAAAAACAAACATGCTAAGCATCATTAAAGTACCAAAGAATGACATCAGACCCGTTGCATACCAAAAGCATGTGGCAATTGATGAAGAAAAGCATCACATAGCATAGCTCCCGCCTCCAAATAGCAAAAATTCATAGAAGGTAAGCAGCCTCATAACAAAGAAACTGAAGAAACAAAATCCCATAGATGTGCCATTTTCACCCAAAGAATTAGTCCCCCATTTTCTCAACAACCAACAACTAGTAACTAAATAAAGATTACATTAGTTCGAAAAGTAAAAGACATCAACAACTCAAAGATATCTGAGAGAGAGAGAGAGAGAGAGAGAAGGTAATGGACAAATTTTATTACAACATATCAACTCAAAGATACCAACTCAAAGGCATCCAACCTTTTGTGGATTAGTTATGGGCAAATTTTATTGCAACATTGAATACTAAATATCCAAAGCTTAGCACATGCAATAATCCAAGTAGTAGTCATAAATTAGAAAGTATCCACCATCATAATTATTGAAGTGACAAAAAAATCAAGCAATTCAAACAGCTTCTTGAATATAAAATTAAAAAAAAAATAAATCCATGTACTCAACAGATGTAACAGCCAAAAACATAGAAGAAAGTAGCAATTCAAATCCATAAACTCAAAGAACATGAAATAAATAAGTAATTAAATAAATAAATAAAAGGCAGGAAGAATCAGACCCCAAATAAAGCCAATGAGTCGACAACTGCCTTCAATGGTTTTCCTTGTACTGAAACAAACCAAAAAAGTTAAAATTAGTAAATGGAGAGAGACATGCATCTTCAATACAAGACAATAATGAATTCAGCAAAAACAACTGCTCAAGTCCACAAAAATACATTTGTGTAAACAGCTAAACAAATGAAGGAAGCCATGCTCACCAAAAATGAAATGGGATCTACTCAACAATACACATATCAATTGGAATTCGTCCAGTTGATTTCAGCAAAATGAACAACATTAAATGGTTCACCAGTTCAAACTTGAGGATAGCCACTTTGTTCAAACTTGATTCTTTGTTTTTGAATTAGTAGGATAAGGAGGAAACCCTAATTCCGTGGCAGTAGATGAGAGCAGAGAGACGAGAAACAGGGGACGTATGGATTTGTGCCAAAATGGTTGAATGCAATACTTACTTTTGGCCGGTAGAGCATTCGATTGAGCCGCTGTACGAAGATCAACCTGTGAAACGCCCAATGCCACTCCTCAGTTATGAACGTACGTGAATAAATTAAAGTTTTAATAAATTGACATTGATTTATTATTATTATTATGAAAATATATTAATTTTATATTTTTTGAGTCATAATTAAAAACAATTCATACAGAGCATAAGACATAACTAAAAATCTAATTAGTCATGACTAAAATAATGTCATAATTAAAACGGAAAATGACTTAATTAATGATATATAACACGAAGTGTATATTACAATTTTATTATTATTATTATTATTATTATTATTATTATTATTATTATTATTATTATTGATTAGTGAGTTATATGAAATTGATATTGATGATGTTTGTGAAGATTTACTGCACTTATTGGTTCAAGTAATTTACTTTGTGTAATTGGAATCTTTTGCTACATAACTATTTGGCATATCCCAATGTTTTACGAGTTGCATTGTGGTTTATTTTTTAATTGTTGTGCTTATTTACGGGTGTTGCTTGGTACCTCAAATTTTTAATGGTTTAAATTGGTGTAAATGATGTGACTTGATGATGTGGTGGTGATCTAAAAAATAATTATTAAATTATTATTATTATTATTATATTTTTATTTTTTAAAATTTTTTATTTACTTATTTATTTATTGTTTTAGGATACTAAACCTAGTTGTTATTGATAATATATAATTTATTAAGATATTTTATCAATACTTTTTATAGTAAATTCTATATATTTAGTAGCACCAATATTTAGTGGATTTCGTAAAAAAATAAATCGTTGTTGATAGTTTGCTATTAGTACTAATACTTGATTACGATCTAATAACATATCTTAGATATAAAAATGATGATAAACACTCATGAAAAGGAAAAAACTTATTACTTATTATAATTTTAAGATGTTTTGATTTTAGACTCACTATACTTCCAAAATAATAACAGGATCTAAGGATTTTGACCGTTACTTGAACGTAGTTGGGATAGGGTTCTGGCATTGGTAAGTTTCCAGTTTACGGAGGTGGCTAACCTCAACCTTTCCTTCCTTAGATTAGGCTTAGCACAGATCTATTTCGTTTCCTACCTCAGACAGTAACTTCAGAAACTTCTTCTTTGATTAAGTAGGAGACCTGATATTAATAATTTGACACACAGTAATAACACACTCTTTTCTAACAATAAAAACTTTTGTATTTACTGAACAAAAATTTACAAAGAAATAGATTTGTGTAGACTGTTAGATTGCTAGAGTATTGTTTGATTTAAGAAGGCCTAAGAACCAGACTTCTTTCTTAGTATCAAGTATAGTCTAAATAATCTATCTCTTTTTGCTCTCTCTCAAGGCCTTTATATAGGCACCTTGTGGATTTCAAAGTCTGAATTTCAACCTAATCTATAAGCATAAAATATTTTACATATTATATTATATTGCTACTAGAATACAAACAAAAGAATAACAAGTAGGTGGTGTGGTCACATGCTGATTTTTTTATGAACAAGAGACACCTGGTGGTATAATCATATGGAAGTGATTATCTTTAGCCCATGGTTTTGCCAAACTATCCATGGTTTTGTCAATCTATTGCATTGTCTAGATTCCATACCCCCTCATCACCCATGATATCACTAAGATCATAGTTTTCATCATATTTTTCAAATATCTCATCCCATCCTTCTAGATCTTATTCCATCAAATATTTTTCCAAAAATTTACATCTTTTACAGATAAATATGTCCCCGAATCTATCTGTTCCAAATAATCATATACTGATTTATAAGGCAATCCTGGAACTGTAACGCCCCCAAATTTGAAACGATAAACTATCCAGCACAGCAAGGATGTACATAAAATAATAAACTCACATTCACAAGAAATCCCAACTTTTCTCTTTCACATCGAACTATAATTTCAAAGTTACAAATTACATATTAACCATTCACAATTCAATAAATAAAAGAAAACAAAATAATTGCCTTATAGGCTTACAAGTTTCAAATATGGCATCAAAGAACAAAAAGGCTCATAATTTCCCAAAAGAAAACAACATAAAAGTTCGACTATTAGATTACAATTTCAAAATATCTTTAAGTTTAATACAAAAGGGTTGGTTGGCTTCTTCATCATTGATGTGGTTATGGTTCGCCAAGTCCTAAAATGTTGTTAGATAAGAATGAACATGTAACGCCCTAAAAAATAAACCCATTATATGTATATCATCGACATGCTTTATTTAAAGAAAACAATTTATTAATTCATTCATCAGAGCATTACTAAATAAAAACATTACTTGTAACATCAAATTAAATGCCCTATGGGCTTACATCTTTCCAAGCCAACACTTGGACACAAAATACGAGTTCTAACTCAAATACAAATAGAGCCCTTGGCTTGATTATTTATCAAATAACCCAAACAATTAAAGATAGTCATCACAATCCATATCCTTCCAAGCTAAGTCCTGGGAGGTAGATTATCACCTGGACCTGAAAATGATGTTCCCATAAAGGGTGAGCCACAGCCCAGTAGAAATATACTAAACCAAATATAAGCATTGAATAAAGCATCAGTATTTAATAGATGGTTAACCAAGATAATCAATTACATCATCAAACAATCTCATGACACCAATGACTAAATCTCGTTTTACTTTCCAACATTATCAATATGGCTCAGAACCTAGCCAAACTTACAATAGTGAATTATATATACATTATATTCACATTCTCCCAATGTCAACAAACAAATGAGACTCAAGCTCAATTCAAAACACTTCATACTTCCAGATTGATACACATTTTAGTGCTGTATCAATAAAACACTTCCTTCACAAATGATACACATTTTAGTGTTGTATCAACAACATGTAAAAACGCTTCTAATATCAATAAGCACACATAAAATGGTGCTAATGGAGTCCATCCCCTATCTCCTCCCAAACAAAATCCGGTTTAGAGGTCCATCCCCTATCTTCCCCTAAACCGTGGAGTACATCCCCTATCTCCTCCCACAGAAAACAATGTATGCAAATGCAATGCTCAAACAATACACGTATTTTCTGTATCAATGCAACAGTCAAAATTAATGACTTAACCCATATGATTAGTTTCAGTTATTCCTAATCCACATGCAATGTCTACAACAATCACGACTATCCTCCACCGATAGCCCAAAACAGTTATTTCTAAACTGAAAATAACTATGTCAACAATTCAATAGACAAATGATTCAAATTATCCAACTACGCCATTTAATCAGT